CACGTGGGTTCATATTGCTGGGAGTATGGTAAATACAGGCTGGTTCTAGGAAACATTTCTCTGGACTTCGTTCTCATGTGAGATGTCAGGGATGTGTTAGGGATGGCTAGAAACAGGGAGGGGAATGTCACATGATTTCTGGGGTGCTACGATTGGCAGGGCTCATACATCCATTTCTTCTTCCATATATGTTACTTTTGCACCTGTATATTTGCATCTCCTTCCTCCCTAGAAAAAGCCTGGGTAAACAGGTGATCCAGACCATGCTGAAAATCACCAAATCTGGGATCTGGTGAACAAAAATGTTCCAATATTCACAGAGAATGCCCCACCACCAGCTCCCTCCTGATCAAACCAGAGTGTTGTTTGCTCCAGCACCTCAAAGGACTGCAACTAGTGCAGTATAATATGGGAAAGTTTTTGAAGCAGTCAGGACCAAAACAATTTAGGTTAAATATGTTAAAAAATACTAAATTGCACCTGCAAATCTGGTAGCCAGTGCAGGTCAGAGAGCAGAAGTGTAGTGTGCTCTTTATCTGAAGCACTGCTTAAACAAGTGGGATGCATCGCTGTGTGTGTGCAATTTCTGCATAGTCTGAAGGTGGTCTCCCATGTAGACAGCACTGTAATAATCTAACCTTCCAGTGACAAGGGCATGAATAATCTTGGTGAGGTCCACCTCCAAAGGGATGGATTTCTGTGATTCCTAAGATTTCTAAATATAACAGAGTTGCTATAAGCTAGGTTCCTTACTTTCCGCCTTTGGCGTCAAAGGCTAATCGAGATTCATCCTCAATTGGTTCATAATTCTTGGACCAGACAAACTTAGAGTCTGGAGACATCTGGTCACATTCAAAGTTCAGGGAAATGACTCCATTATCATCCACATCTACTTCCATTTCTTTAGTTCCTGGAAGATCAAAACAAAGCATGTCTACTTTTTAATAGGAAGCAGCATAAATTATTTGCATGCACATCATTCACAGGGTAAATTAAGCAGAGCCCTTTCCTTCCTTCTGCACATACATAAGCTGCTGCAACAGGCTAGTGTCCTTGATCCTTTACTCATGAGAAGAGTCTTTATCTAGGTGCGTAATTCCACTGAAGTAATGAGCAAATTAAAAAGGGTACATAGGTCAATGAGATTACTTGCACATGATTAAGGACTATGCATACATGAAGGTTGCAGCATTGGGCCCTGGACTGAAAGAAGCCTTATCTCAGGCTTAAAAATAAAATTAAATGCACTGGAAAAACTGAACAAGAACAAATGCAAGTCCATTAAAATGCATTAAATGTTGAAAATATTGTAAAAGCAATACCTTCCACAGTAAGGGCTATTCATTGTATTCTTTACATAGGGAAAACTTCTAATTTTCTAGTAAAATACAAGTTCATGCCACGTACACAAGAGTATACTTGGGAAAGGTGGAGGGGTGAATAGGAAATTAAGAGTTCATATTAATTTCACAAATGAATCATCACAGTAGCACTCACTTGTGCAACTAATAGTGTTACACACAGCAGCTCATTCACACATACAGATGTTGGATTAATCAAGTCTGACATATTGCCCTGAAATGGCCTATGGAGCGCATCCTGTGCACACCAATAGGGAGTGTATTTGTGATTGGCAGCTAAGTGCAACACCTTGGTTCAAACCAAGAGCTGGTTTTGAATACTGCTTGCTACTCCAGTGCCTGCAGGCCTTGGTAAGGGTAGGACCATCCAGTGTGCACTGGTAGGGCACTGAATGGAGAATAACAAGTCCAGGGCCAGAATATACCTAGGATCTGCCTTTCATGCATACCTGTGCAGCCAAGAGAACTGCATTTTCTGTATGGGTGCAGAGGTGGCTCTTCACCCGTGTCAAACGTGGAGGTAATTTTTATCTAACAACTTGTTTGGTATCATCACTGGAAGCACTGTTCATTCAAGAGGATTTGGAGAATATCCATTGTTTTTTGCACAGCTCTGAACTGAACTGGACCTTATACTTTAAAAAGGCCTCTGATGTTATAATATTCAGTTTGAGAGTGTCTTGAACTGCCTAAAATGTCAATGACATACTTTTCCTCTAAAATCGTATATCTTAAGAAAAGGACCTCATTCACAAAAAGCCATCAGAATATCCAGAAATTAGTAATAAGTGCTTTATTTCCAGCACATTTCTTGAGTCCTGTTCCCATAATCCTAATACCATACATGGCTTCTCCAATACTGTGAGCAGAAGCACATTCCTTGGTAATGAAGTAGTTTGTGAACATGTAACTGACTGTCTTATTGCTTATAGCTTGCCATAAATGTTTAATAAAAGGAGAGATCAATATTTGTTGCTATACCAGTATTATCATTTATCAGCCCTTTCCGAAACGCAATATGCAGTTCAGAAATACATGTAAAGTACCCATGAATGATAAATAAAGTCTGAGGTCTACATATCTCTTACTGGGCAGTAACATGTTTGTAAATTTACCAGTGTAATCCATTATATGGAAATTTACCATTTGACATGTCATTAGTGTTTGTTTCCACTGCAGATTGTTAGCGTATCAATCTTTTGATGACAGTGTAGGTAATATGCAAAAACTCTGCTATAAGAGCGATTCAAAAGGCAATATGCTTGACACTTCATTAGCTTGCATTCACTATATATTACTACTACCACTCAGCATTTATATCTGGCAGTGGTGTTGTTTATACAACTCAGCGTGCATTTTTATAAGTTCATTTTTTCTCATTTTGCTTTATCTCTACCATAAATACTTAAACAGGTCACTAAGAAACTAAAGCATGTTTCTAGATCAGGGATCGGCAACCTTTGGCATGCAGCCCATCAGGAAAATCCGCTGGCGGGGCGGGACAGTTTGTTTACCTGCAGCGTCCACAGGTTTGGCTGATCACAGCTCGCACTGGCCGCAGTTCGCCACTCCAGGGCAATGAGGGCTGCGGGAAGTGGCACGGGCCGAGGGATGTGCTGACCGTTGCTTCCCGCAGCCCCCATTGGCCTTGAATGGCGAACCGCGGCCAGTGGAAGCTGTGATCGGCCGAACCTGCAGACGTTGCAGGTAAACAAACTGTCCCGGCCTGCTAGCGGATTTCCCTGATGGGCCGCGTGCCAAAGTTTGCCGATCCCTGTTCTAGCAGCTGAGGATTGCCAGAGCACAGCAGCACTCTAGACAGGAGCTCATCTAAAAGCCACTCTTCCAATATGCCCCTGTGTTGGCTCTACATAAGGAGAATCCTCAGCTGAAGACATAGGTGAGGTTTAAGGCCCTGATCCTGCAATCTGATACCTGTGGGTAGACCCTTATGTCTGGGTAGAGTCCTACTATAGTTAATAGTGCTTCATGCAGGTGCAATGGTCCGCCCACACAGATGATTTTGCAGAATCGGGACCTAATTCTACTTTGCAGTGAGCAGTATCAGAGCTAGGGGCTGGCACAACGGGATTTGAAAAAGGGTTAAAGCATACTCCTCAGAGCCCTGGGATTTTCTGTGGAAAACATACACAATGAAATCACTTTGATGAAATCAAGACTAAGTTATAGCTAAAGATATAGGTTTGTTTGAGGGTTTGCTGTTTGTTTGGGCCAATTGTTTTATTTTATTTTACCTTTTAAAACATTATAAGGAAAAAGTGTACATAGTTGGCAAATTAGAAACAAAAAATACAAAATATTTGACCATATTACCCAAACATGCTGGAAATAGGAGATTGCCTCCAGTCCTACTGACAGAAATAATTCTTTCAGTATATTTATTTAAGTTTCTATTCCTCTTGGGTTAGAGATCTTGCTCTCCTGCTGATATTTCTGACTTATTCACCAAAAGTAACACTGCAATTCTATTTGCAAAATGCAGGAATTCTCCAGAGAGACCCATCTGACTAAAATAATATTTTCCATCTATCCAAGATCTTAATAATGCCAACATTAGTTGGGAAACTACCTTTCCAGAAGATTTGAGACCAGTTTTTTAAAATGTCATGATTGTACCTGAGATTTGCATGGTTTGAGTGAGAAAGCATTTTTAACCAGATTTTTGCCTTTCTGAGGGCTGGTCCACACTACCCGCCTAATTCGGCGGGTAGAGATCGATCTTCTGGGATCGATTTATCGCGTCTCATCTGGACGCGATAGATCGATCCCAGAAGCGCTCCCCCGTCGACTGCTGAACTCCTGCTCGCCGAGAGGAGGAAGCGCTGTCGACGGGGGAGCCTGCCTGCGCCGCGTGGACCCGAAGTAAGTACTTTTAGTTCGATATAGGAAACGTCGACTTCAGCTACGCTATTCTCGTAGCTGAAGTTGCGTTTCCTATATCGATCCGCCGCCCCAGTGTGGACCAGCCCTGAGAGATTTATTTTGTCTTTTCTTAACCCTTCATAAGAAGTGTAGTTTGGCATTGACCATATTTACAGATCTGAGCTAAAAGTATGTGTCAACAACAAAGTCACTACAAGATTAATTGGCCCTGAGCTTCCCGGAGAACTTTGTTGGGCCAAATCTTGACTCTCCTGCTTTGTGGACTTGGAATACGACCCCAGCTCTGTACCCCTGAGCAATAATGAAATCCTGAGACAAGGGTCCCATATGGGTAACAGCCAGGGTGCAGCTCTGCAGCCTTGCCCCCAGTGTTAAGGGCTGTGGACGTTCTCTGCTGAACTTGGCCCTATTACTCTAGACACACACCTTATTGCAGCTATCATAGATCTCAATGGGAATTACGAGGCTACACTGGCGCTGTACAGCGCTGCAACTTGCTGCGCTCAGGGATGTGAAAACGACCCCCCCCCCCCGAGCGCAGCGAGTGCAGCGCTGTAAAGCACCAGTGTAATCAGAGCCTGCAGCGCTGCACGCTCACTCGCAGCGCTGCAAGCTACTCCCCTCGGAGAGGTGGAGTACATACAGCGCTGCGAGAGCTCTCTCGCAGCGCTGGCGGCGCGACTACACCCGCGCTTCACAGCGCTGCCACGGCAGCGCTGTGAATTCCTGAGTGTAGCCAAGGCCTAGATCTCCTTGCAGGTGGTAAAAAAGTATCCCCAGCTCTGAATGACTGCTTAAATTCTCATTCTGTTGGAACTGAAATTATATGTGAGGTTCCTTATTTGATATGTGTGGGGGTTGCTATTGCATGACAAGCTTGTGTTATCAGTCTGAAGGCTAAGCATTAATCCTCAAAGGGAAGCAGAAACTTTGGGGAAAATGTTCATCCAATTCTTATTTCATGAGGTTTTCTGTTTCCATTGTGCATAACCCAATGTCAGAACAATAGGACTCTATGGCTTTCAATGAAACATCTGCAGCAGGACCACGTCAACTGACTTGGGATCACAGGGCTCAGGCTGTGGGGCTCTAAAATTGCAGAATAGACATCAGGCACTAGTGGAGCCTGGGCTCTGGAATCCTCCCCCCCATGGGATCCCAAAATCAGGGCTCCAAGTGTGAGCCCAAACATCTACACTGCCATTTTATAGCCCCAGCCCCACAAGCCTGAGTCAGCTGACACGGGATGTTTTATTGAAGTGTAGACATCCTAAGGGCCCTGTCCTGCTCTCATTGGCTACTGGCAAAAGTCTCAATGGCTCAGGGAGCTCCTAGAACTAGACTGCAGCTTTAGATGTGTTTATCTTATACTATATTATGTATTTTAAGGAGATTTTGGAGGTACATTTTTCATCATGGAATATCAGGGTTGGAAGGGACCTCAGAAGGTCACTTAGTCTAACCCCCTGCTCAAAGCTGGACTAATCCCCAACTATATTTTTCCCCCAGAACCCTAAATGGCCCCCTCAAGGATTAAACTCACAACCCTGGGTTTAAGCAGGCCAATGCTCAAACCACTGAGCTATCCCTCCCCCATCTTGCAGCTTGTGTTTACAGCACACAAAAAATATACCTGCATGAACCTCAGCATCTTAGATGTTTTACTTTTGTGTTTGTTTTTATTAGTTTCATGTATTGTGTGTCAGTTCTAACAACAGTACTATCTCTTATGAGTAGGTTAAAAATCTATGGGCTCAACAGCCTCTTCCTATGGAAATACCAATGGAAAGGATCTGGAGGGAGGAAAGCTCTATGAGGCTCATAGAGATTCCTCCATGTTTTTCTGTTTTATTAAGGGCTATGTCCTCTGTGGAAATAGCAGGGGTCCGGAGTCCAAAACCACAGATACTCAGATACCTATATGAAACCCATGGATCCACTGGAGTTCTGGGTCCAGCTGTGGGGGGATTCTGTGCCTCCACACTGACTCTTGGGTTCCCTGCTTCTCTCCACACCTTTCTAGCATTGTGGATTCATTGTAGCCATGCTGCAAGTGTTTCTCCAATCAGCAGCTGCCCTGGGCTCTCCATGTAAAGGTAGTCTCCACAGCAAGAAGGGTGTCTGTGTTAACTTGTGAAAGGATTTACTGTTGGTGCCAAGGGAGAAAAAGAACATTCTCCTTGGCCCATTCACAGCCTGTCCCCTCCCCAGGAACTCTCTGTGAGTCAAGGGACAGAAGGGATATGAGCTGCAGTGGCAGCAGCAGCTGATCTCCCTTCTATCTGGGGAAGAGTAAAACCTAAGTGTGGAAGTTACACGCCATGCACTGATCTAGGGGAACAACTGGACCCCGTATTTATCTGCAATTGCATACAAATATTATTTTACCATATTTGTGTGTTCCAGTATTTGTGTGTATGTATAGTATAGGCAGCCAAGTGTATTCAGAAAACTTATTTTATAAAGGAGGTAAAGAGTCACACTCAACTGGTATCCTTTATAGGAAAAGGGCTTGGTGCATTGGTAATACATCGAAGGACATATGGGTTCAGTTCCTTTGTGTGTATTCTCTGATTATGAGCATGTCTGATAAATATGAACCTGTATAAATGCAGATGCAAAACAAGAGTGTAAACGAACCTGGTCGTGTTTCTGCTATGACAGGGTCAGTGGTATCAGAAGGTTTCCCGACACCAGCCTGATTTGTTGCTCGCACCCGGAATAGATAGCTGACACCTTCCTTTAGGCCACTGACCTAGAACAAGCAAATAGAGAAGCACAGTACACTACTGAGCACTTCATTTTACTCTTCCATATCTATAATACTAGTTTGGCAGCTTGACAATAATATATCTTCCTCTTTTCCCCCCCCTCTTTTTTCACTTGGAAACTTCCACTTTCCTCATGTCCCTCCCATCCAGGCTAACGTGACTTATTTTTGTTTGCTACTTGAGTCGAGCCAGCATTTTTGATGGTGTCATCAATGATGTTAGCACATTTCTGGGAACAGGATGTTTTTAACTCTTGTGCGGTCCATCTGCCTCTGCAGCAGCAGAACAAAAATACTGCAGGTCAATTCTGACTTTTAAAAAAAAATTGTAGTCAGAGTCAATAATTCAAACCATAGATATTTAGAATCTGGATGTCATTCTCTATTGGATTATGATGATTTTAACATCCAGTTTGAGGCTACACTACATTCCAATGTCTCTTTAAAAATACACAAGCGAAGATCACATTTTAAAATGAGGTGTTTTTTTTAAATGACCTTTGAAATATACAAATTTCAAATGTATGTATACATTTGTACACTCTTGGAAGAATGTTTAGAATCAAGATACAGTTAATCTTATATTTAGAAATTGCTCCATGAAATTATGTACCATAATAGCCTAGCCATCTAAATTACAAACTCAAAAAAATGAGATGACAGGGTATATTATGTTAAAACCAGTCATCCTGTCATATTTTCACAGCACACACCGCAGTGATTTGCCACTTGTGTTCACTTTTGAGTCAGGAAATACAGAGGATACATCTGTATTATAACCCTATTTTAGGAATGCCATTTCACTTTGGTAGTGCGTTCTTTTATTTTTAGACTTATTGGGCTAAATTCTTTTCCAAGTTAAACCCCTATGTGACTCTGCTAGGATTACATGAGTGTAATTGAGGGCACAACATAGCTTGGTAAGTCTAAAACTATAAGGAAGCACTACCAAAATAGAATGGCATATCTAGAACTGACTTCACAGAAGTTGCACTGGTGTAATTGAATTTGGTTCCAAAACTGATTACCTTTAAGAATTTATTTGCAATTGGCTTCTCATTGACACTCCTCCAATGTTCGTCTGTTGCTTCTGTTTCCTTCACATCAACATAGTAACCAGTTACAGGATTACGGCCAATATAAATTGGTGGTTTCCACAGTAAAACCAAAGAGTCTTTTCTAACTTCAGTGCATAAGAGATCATGGGGTGGTCCTAAAGGATAAAAAAAAAAGTTGGAATCTTGTGCATTAAATAAAGCCACAAGCAGGCCATTGCATAAAACAAATGAAAAATGTACCGTCTCAAAAAGACTGTGGGCTAAATTCAGAGTGGGTGTAAGTAGATACAACTCCATTGTACCTGTGATCTTATACAGTCCTGGCCATGTTCAAAATGAACTAGCTCCCAAAATGATCCAATTTCCTTTTTTTCTAACCTACAATATCTCAATCAAACATAACCATGACCAGCCTCATCAAATGACAGGGAGAGAAGTTAATTATTAAACTCATTCATTTGTTGAGAGCCTGATCTAATGCCCATTGACGTCAATGGGAGTCTTTTCATTAACTTCAATGGGTATTGGTTCTGGCCCTGAACTGACATGCTTAGGACAGGGCTAAAGGGCCTGTTTCTTCACTGCCTTGCACCTTGTGTAGACATTTACACCAAGCATAGATGTAGTAGAGGAACCTAAATAGAAAATAAATAAACAATTAGCTGCAAAGTGGTTATTAAATGCTACCAAATGAGAAGAGCAATGTTTAACACCCACTTTGCACAGGTGTAAATGGCTCTGCAAAGCAATGGAGAACCTTATGTGCAGAGCAATTTTACTTCCATTAAAGAGTCCTGTGGCACCTTATAGACTAACAAACGTATTGGAGCATGAGCTTTCGTGGGTGAATACCCACTTTGTCGGATGCATGTAAGTGGGTATTCACCCACGAAAGCTCATGCTCCAATACGTCTGTTAGTCTATAAGGTGCCACAGGACTCTCTGCTGCTTTTACAGATCCAGACTAACACGGCTACCCCTCTGATACTTTACTTCCATTGACTTCTATTGGAAGTGGAACTGAGAGCACACAGCAGGTGTAGCAGCAAACCCATAGCAGACCTCAGGATGCAGCCTGCTGAGAATAAGAACAGAACCCTGTTCTAGCCAGCAGCATTCCTCTCTCATTTTGTGTAGAGTGGGGGTTTGGTATGCTCCACTGAATGATGCTGAGCTTTGATGTTTTGTTTAGATTTTTACCTGGAACAGCAATGGTCCATTCTTCACATTTGAAGGATCGAGTAGGTGGGGAGGGTGTGCCGACCCCAGCTAGGTTAGCAGCAGCCACTTGGAATTGGTACACCATGTTTTCCTTCAAATTGTGAATCTGCAGGATTAAGAAAACAATACCCATTAACCTTGCTTTAAAGTTGTAGAAGGAGATTGTACTGATGACTGTCACATATGTAAACTCTAGGAGACAAACCCTCTTTATAAAGCCTGTACAATGAACAGGTGAAAGCAATATTAAAAATCAGTTATGTATACTTTCATTTCTTTTCAATCATTTAAGAATGAAAAGGCACTACAAAAGCTACCTTTGTGCACTGACACCTGGGCAATACTGTCTATAAGCAGCCACTTCTCAGCAAACTGAGGAAGGCTTGAGACTCTGGGCTTGTCTTCGTGTACAGCACTACAGTGGTGCAGTTGCACTGTTCTAGCTCTTTAGAACACTTGACAGGAGACCTTCTCCCATCAGCATAGTTAATCCACCCCCAGAGCGGGAAGCTATGTCGGGGGAGAAGCTCTCCCATCGACATAGCGCTGTCTACACAGGGGGTTAGGTTGGTATAACTACATCGCTCAAGGGGTATGGATTTTTCACACCTCTCAGTGACATAGTTATACCAATATAGGTCTGTAGTGTAGACCTAGCCTATGAATGTTCTAAATGTGCATAAACTGTAAAAAAACCAACAACAAAAAACTATCTTTACTGTTAGACATTGTGCTAGGTAGGTAGGGAGCAGAGTGTCACCAGCCATGCGTTAATTACATAATTCAGCCTGCTGATGTAGGAGCTGTCCCTGCAGTGAGGTATACGCCGGCACTCATTTGAAAAGCAGCTGTATGCACCCCTGGCAATTATGTGCTGCAGATGGTAGCAGACTTGCAAGCTGGATCAGGATCTAGCCCCAGACCATGACTTCTTTAGGCCACAGCCAGTCAGCACAGGAGTGGCTCAACTCCCTCATACTCTATTAAGTGCTAATGGCCTCATTTTCAAAGATGCTGGGCATGTGTAGCTTCTATTGGTGACATGAGTTCTTAGATACTATGGTGATGGGTCCCAGACTGAAAGATAGGTTGTAGCTCGTTCAATAGATAAGTTTGTAGATTGATGGTACATTCAGGGTACACCTCTACCCCGATATAACGCGACCCGATATAACACGAATTCTGATATAACGCGGTAAAGGAGTGCTATGGAGGGGCGGGGCTGCGCACTCCGGCGGATCAAAGCAAGTTCGATATAACGCGGTTTCACCTATAACGTGGTAAGATATTTTGGCTCCCGAGGACAGCGTTAAATTGAGGTAGAAGTGTATGTTTACACTGCCCACGTTACAGCACGGCCGTGGCGTGACGTGGGCAGTGTAGTCACGCTTTATCGCCATGGGAGAGCTCTTCCGGCAATAGAAAACTACAAGGGATGGTAGCTTTATCACCGGGAGCGCTGTCTATACTGGCGCTTTTCAGTGCTAAAATTTTTGTCGCTCAGCGGGGTGTTTTTTCACACCCCTGAATGTGTACTGAATTAGCACTGAAAGTGGCAGTGTAGAGACAGCCTTACTGAATGCAGATAATTTGTACTTACACATTTAGGGTATGTCTACACTAGTAATTGAATGACAAAACTTTCGTCTTTCACAGGTGTTAACCCCCCTCTCCCGAAAGACAAAAGTTCTGCTTCGACAAGCACCAGTGTGACCAGCGCGTTGTCGTCAGGAGCGCTCTCCTGCCAATAGGGTGACCAGATAGCAAGTGTAAAAAAATCGGGACAGGGGGTGGGAGGTAATAGGTGCCTATATAAGAAAATCCCCTCAAAATTGGGACTGTCGCTATAAAATCGGGACATCTGGTCACCCTACCTGCCGACAATGCAAATGCCGCTCGTTGGGGGTGGAAGTTTTTTGTCGGCAGGAGAGCCGACAAACAGTGGCGACATGGCGCGACTTTTAGCGGCATGGCTGTAGTGACACAGCCATGTCACTAAAAGCTGTGTAGTGTAGACATAGCCATAGGAAAAAGCTTACCCTACTCTACTCCCACCCACAAAGCAGAGGGCAGGGTATGGCACTAAACATTTATATACAAACCTTCCGCATCCGAGAAGTGTTAACTGGTGACTCTTATCGTGCTTTAGAAATAAACACTGACAAGAAGCAAAGGACTAGAAGAATAAGTTGTTTTACTTTTCGTTCTAATACATACCTGATATAGCATTACAAATCATTGTGAGCAACATATTAACCATCCAGGACATGACACACCTTTTTAAAAGCTGAATACCCTCTATTAAATTGTAGACCGGTTTCTGAGGGCAGGTCTACACTTACTTCCTGGTCCAGCCGTAAGCAATCGATCTTCTGGGATTGATTTATCGCGTCCTGTCTAGACGCGATAAATTGATCCCGGATTGATCCCGGAAGTGCTCGCCGTCGACGCCGGTACTCCAGCTCGGCGAGAGGAGTACGCGGCATCGACGGGGGAGCCTGCCTGCCGCTTCTGGACCCGCGGTAAGTTCGAACTAAGGTACTTCGAATTCAGCTACGTTATTAACGTAGCTGAATTTGCGTACCTTAGTTCGAAGTGGGGAGTTAGTGTGGACCAGGTCAGTCACATTTAATAGAGTAATAATACTTTTTCACTTATATAGCAACATTCTATCAAGGAACCCAAAATACTTCAAAAAAAGGACAGCATAGCTCTTATTATATCTGTGGCATTAAAGAATGAGCAAAGCAAGCAAATATTAGACTAGCATTTGTTTGCTATGGAGTATCTCTGACATAAACATCCCAATCCACTGGAAACAATGAATTAGAAGCTGTTTTTCCTAATCTGTCTTGTTACATATATATTTCTGATGCATGCTCAGCAATATGAAAATTAACCTCTTACCCTGTAGGCCCTCTCACTAACTGGTTTAATGTTGGCCTCGTTCCATTTTCCAGGAACTCCATCAATCACTTCACGATAGTTCACATAGTAGCCAGTAATTTCAGCTCCGCCAATGATTTTGGGCTGTTTCCATCCTAGCACCATTGAGTCACGAACACTTTCAAGTACAGTGATGTCATAAGGTGGAGATGGGGCAGCTGTGTCAACATGAACATCATATGAATAGGCAGTAATCATTCTACTAATCAAATGAGCATTTGTCTGGCTTTCTCATCTTGTACTTCTTAGTCAGGAAAAACTCCATTTGTAGTCAATGGAAATTTTGCTGATGTAAGGAATGCAGGATGAAGGCCTCCATAAGCCAATAAAAAACTAAGCTACAGAAGCATTAGCTATACAGCAGTGTTTGATATTTGAGAAACAAGCTGATACACGGTGAAAGTATGTGTCGCAACTGCAGCTCTCATATAAGTGAACAGGTTTCATTTTCAGTACAGTGAAAGATCAGAAACTAAAACTAACACCATAGCAGACTTGCAAAATTTTGGAGATGCAATGATTTGTTTTCTTTTGCTGAAACCAAACTTTTTCCCACACAATTTTTTCTTTAGTTCCTTTTTTACCCCACAGTACCATGATGAGAAAAGAGGTAATGCAACACCACCTATTTCCTCATTTTTGGTCTCTGAATGTTATAATGATATCATTGCACCCTTTGGGTAAACTTACCTTGCTGAAGGAACGCACAGTCATAGCCACAGCTGTCTGATCAGAAATGGAAGAGGCCTGTTTCTGGAGCTTACTTCAAAAATATCTGGAGCACAATTTTTTTTTAAACCAACATAGAAAGCAAGAAACTTCAGTCCTGCAACTGCACCCACTTTCTTACAGTATATCCTATATACATACCGGTGGAATATTTGTACACAGAGTATTTACCACTGATCAGCTGTTGGCAATACTTAGGAACGCCTTGTCTCACTTTGGATGTAGCTCAGATAGAATTTTGAACGACCTCATTTGCTGAATGTTCTTTCAGAATAACTCATCATCCAGTCAGCAAAAACTTTATTTTAATTAGTAAAGGAAACCTGCAGAAAAAACCCTATTGCCTTTGAAATCAAGGATAACTCTATCAATAATTAACTACATTTAAGCAGGAAACTGTTGCTGACGTGTACTCAACTGTATGTAGGTATACATTTAGACAGGTGCTCAGATACCATGATGGGCATGTATTGCTGGATGATGTATAAGAAAAGTCTAATTGTGTACATATTACAGTAATTCCCCATTTTCTTATTGTCCTGTTTAACAGACTATATCAGCTGGTGTCAGCATAGCTCTACTGAAGTAACCAGTTTATACCAGCTGAAGATCTAGCCCAGTGTCCTTAAGTATGGTGGATGCTAAAGTGTTGATTGCATATAACTGCTCTATGTGCACTTACAAACTCGATGGGTTTTCTCCATTAAAGTGTTACTGTCAACTAACAAATACAATATATAATATTCACTAGCACTATGCCTTAAAGTATAAGAAGAAGTCTAAGCATAAATCCAGAAAGGAACTCAATATATCTGATAACAGCAGAGGTGTTTCTGCTCACTATCATGTAACAATTAACTCACGAGATTTTGTTTTCTTTGTATATAACCTAGAGTCTGAATATCAAGACTCCTTATAGAGAATGAATTGCTGGCAGGTGTTAAAAATCCCTCTGACTATGCATTACAAGCTTTGTTGCTATCTCCAGAAATACCACCAAAGTGATTTAGAAGTCATGATATTTTTGGATACATAACTGTAATATATAAAGTAAAGTAAAGCAAGCTATTAAATTAGTAAATGATTTTAAATGTTTTGCTGTCAACAGACACACTGTATGGGAAATGCTCCCCCATACCATTCCATGCATAATGACCCTTAATGAAAAGCTGAGCATGTAAATGGATCTGATGAAAGATGCATCATTGGTGAGAATGTCCATTGTGACTTGGATGATAAGAGATGAACATTGTCTGAGATGAATGTGCTGAAATGGTGAAATCTGTTTATTAGCTCTCACCTATATCTTTCTTCTCTTTCATTTTCTCCAATGCCAAAGGGTCCCCAGGTTGAGTCTTACTTGCCTGCTTAGCAGCTCCCTTCTGTGGTGAAGGTGTAGGAACATTCTTAACCGTTTCTCTTACTTCACTGACTCCTGTACTCCCCAGCTTATCAGAGCTACTGGGTAGCACGTGTCTGTTAAATTTAGCATTGCATTTTAGCAAAGCATCTGTGTCAAAGATAGGCTGGGAGGACTCATGCATGCCTTCCCAGGAGGTAGTGTAGTCTGTTAGTCCACCAGCTTTACCACTCAGTTCAGGACACACACCATGAAGCAATCCTCCCCCTGCAATTGCCAGAAAATAACAGACATTTTGAATTAGACATCATTCCTTTTTCTTCATTTATTCAACAGAATGAAGAAATGATCACAAAGAACAACATAGGCAGGACATGAACAAACATGATTTTTGCTGACATTATGATATGCTTCGACTCATGAGAAATGTGAAAAGCATATAGTACCTCCCAACCTTCTCACTACAAGTAACTCTTTTTTTAATGGTGTATATTTTACAGCACAGATGTGACAGTCAATAATCTGGAAAGCTAATAGAAGTAAAGTGATTGTCACTTGCCACACTTCTTTTAAGATTAGATCCTTTTACCCATATCTATGATCGTTTCAGCTCATCTTTAGAAGTGCCTCTTTCTTCTGCCATACTTGTCTTCTGAGGTTGGGAGGTATGTCAGTTCGATACAAATAGTGTTAGAATGTTGAAAACATACAATTTATTCTGGTTCAGTGAGTTCATTAGTCTCCTTATGTTAGTTCAGGCAAAACAGAAATAGCTCATCAACAGTATGGAGGATGCACAGGGTTTTAAGAGGTTTACAGAAGAGAACGACAGCATTATTAGTAGGTTCAGGTATGAAAATAAATCAAGCCCTTAGATTTAGGAACTGACTTTACACAGGATGATGTGTATTAGAGGTGATTTATATCACAATATGAAATTAGACTGGCATTCCATTTTCCAGCGTAACTATGACGTGAACTTAACAGCGTTTTCATACAGTGGTTCATGAATAACATCTGAGGAAGCCTGGATGGTGAAGATGAACAATCTACAAGTGCGCAGTGACTGAGTGACTGTAAAAGTATGGCTGTGAAGCATTACACATGATATGACCAACAGGAAAATCATTATCTGTGGACAATACTGTAAAACAATATAATTAGTTACAAATAATTGCTGAAAAAAACTTTCTGGAATCATTCAATTTTTTGTTTACTATTGACCATGGCAATGGAACATAGCTTACCAATGGCTGCTTTGACTTCAATAGCCTCTGATTCCTGTGAATATTCACTGAGTCCAGCTGCATTAACAGCTCTGACTCGGAAAATGTAGTTCTCACCAGTGAGGAGTCCATGGCAAATGAATCTAAAGCAAAACAGTAAAGGAACACTTAGAAAACCCTTACCCCGCTGTAGTGAATGGGAGTTTGCCATTGACCTGAGTGAGGCCAGGATTTCACCCCTGTAGTAGCTGTACTGCAGTGAGACAACATACAAAGGAGATTTGGATATCAGCAGGAAGGCTAATATGAAATTTTATCTCAAGGAAGCAAATAGGTTTGTTTCAGTAATAATGTCTGGAAATGACTGTCAAACCGATCTGTATGTGAGCAGTTCTTATGCTAATTTAAGGGTTCTGTCTCATAAAAGTGAGGCTTATGGAAGTGTGCAAACAGAGGTGAAATATGGAAAAATAAAATGAGCATGTTGCTTGTTGTGAAGAAGTTAATGATCATTGCTCCTTTTAAAAATGAAATATTCATTTAATTGCCATATTAACCCCCTATGGGATTGATCTTGCACAGCCCAAGTATAGCTAGTGGCAGGGATAAGTACAAGTTATAATGTGATGGGCAGGATAAGGAGCACTTCTCAGTAAGCAATCAATTACTTCTGCCTAGTAGCAGGAGAAAGGTCAAAGAATGGAGGGCACAGCTAAGCACCTCATTTGCATAACAAGGATCACACTCCTGTCTCCTGAGACATGCCCATTCTCCAACACCTACCATTTTTTCCCCTGAGCTCATGAGAGTATGGGAGTTGCTGTGTCAGGGGGTAGCTTCCTTCTGCTCAGTGCAGAGGAGTACACAGACCTAATTGCACCCACATGTAGCCTCTGCTCGCGCTTGTACTTTCCAACGGGTACATCACAAAGACTTGCAAGACCTAGACCTGTCTACTTCAGTGCCATGCTTATAATGCTAGGTGTAAAGTTATGTGGTTAGTATGAGTTTCTGCTATAATTTGTCTTCAACCAATACTTGAAAAATTACAATAACCATGAAAGTTACAGTAACTATAGAGAATAAGAGCAGAAAAAAAGATGTCAGAATTTCAACTTCAATTTCTTGCTTCTAAACATCACACAGTAACCTCCTTAACGTTTAAATAGGGGAGTCAATAGTGGACAGAAGGTTGATGTACATTTTTGCCCAGGCAACATCTTCATTACACTATCGCATAATAAATAGTAATGGTTGTAAGCATTTCATGGCAGGGACCATCTTTTACTCTGTGTTTGTAAAGTCCTCAATACAACGAAAGCCCCTCAATGCTGACTGGAACCTAAGCACGCTAGTTATACAAATAAATAATAATTCTCTATCATGGTGGCTAATGATTGTAATGTTAGCAATATTAATCAGTTACTATAATAAGTCATAATAAGCCAGACCTGGCTTTCCATTACAACATAAATATTCAATAACTCCCTTGAATTCAATGGAATTTCTCTGGATTTACAGCAGTGTAACCAGGATCAGCTCAGAATTTGCTAATTAAGGGCCTGATTCTTAGATTCTTACTCAGGCAAAATTCCTATTAGGACAAATTTTGGTTTAATTTATGAAGGTGTAAATCTGGAGTAACTTCATTGACTGACAGAATGAATTTAGTATGAATAAAGGATGTGAGTTCTGTATGCAAGGAATTAGTACATTTGCAATGTAGCATGGAATTTTCTAATGTGCTTTTGAGTCTCTTTGATGATGAAAATGAAATAGCAGTGACAGGAAGGGCAGTTGGAGGGAAAGCAGCCACATTTGCTGGTGTCATATTAGTTATACAGTTCTAGAATTATTTACCATTGCCCTTCAAAATGGAGAGCTTTGCTGCCAAACACCATGCAATCTAGTTTTCTAAGTTTGCAAGCTCACTCATTCATTATCTTACTATTTTGTACTATTGTACAATAGCTAACCTATTTGTTACTCTTGTTCTTTCCTTGCTTGCTGCCACTTCCCTTTTTTGTTTGTTTGTTACACTTATTTGTTGCCTCTGAATTCAAATTAGCTTGTAAGTTTCTTGGGGTCAGAGACTATGATTTAATATATGTTTGTATAGCACCTAGTGAAATGTGGCCCCAATCTTGATTCAGACCTTAGTTTCTACCACAATACTAGTTATACTATTATTGTTATAGCCATAAAGTATGTAAAGCAGCAAACAAACTTGCCATGCTTGGGGACCAGCAAACCTGCCTTCCATGTTTTTATGTCCACTACCTTGTGCCTTTCACTGGATTGTTATTGCTTGGTTCCCAATGGCCAGATCCAGCTATGCTTGCTTCTACGTAGTACCCAACCAACTCCTTGGCATCTTTAGATTCTGTCCAAGTGACAACCACTGAGGTATCTGTATTCCTGGTTGGTATAATACGGCCTGGGACTTTGGGAATATCTGGGGGGACAAACAAAAATAAATTAGTGACCAATAAGGGTAAAATTTACCAACATCAAAATAAGGATCACATTCTGCTCTTGATTATGAAAGTGTGAATCCAAGCAACTCCAATGACTTCATCTGAGTTTCTATACTCCAAATTTACACTAGTGTAACTCTGAGTAGAATTCAGCCCTCAACTTTTAAAGCTTCTAAAGTAGCCAACGTTACTCTATTATGGCTACTATCTTGGATTTTCCTCCACAAGAAGTCCCTGTATCAACTTTAGAAGTATAAGATTTAGTTTTGGTTTAGATTGCATAATTTGATAAAATAAAAACAATTAGGGCTGGTCAAATTTGGAAATTCTTTTCTGTGAAAATTTTCAAATGAAATAAAACATTTTTATCCAAAAAAATTGCCCATTTTTTAAATTATTATTTGTGGTCTTTTCAGTTATTCGCATGATTATTTGAAGTCTTTGATGCCCTTGGTTAGCATCTGCAACCTCAATATATACTAAAGGATCCACAATTCAAGTCACAATGAACAATGAAATAAAGAACAAATCACTGTCTACCGTTCACAGTTGTGTCAATTATGGAGCATCCATGTGTCTGCTTCAAGCAAAATAACTACCCGATGCTCTTAAAGGGTAGCCACAGACACGGGATAATATGTCTGACTATACACTTACCAAGTTTGTCACCCACCACAGTAGCTTCAGTTGCTTCTGAGGGCTCACCAATGCCAGCTGAATTACAACAGCGAACACGGAAACGGTAAGATTTCCCTTCAGCCAAGTCAAAAACAGCAAAGCGAGGAGACTTTACAGGGATCTCAGTGTTCACCCTCTGCCAGTTCTCTGTGCCTGCAGTACACTGCATTCAAAACAAGAAAGAGCCATTAGGACAGAGCTTTTCAACGCACAGAACTTAGTAGACAATCTAGACTGCCAAGAAGTTCCATCTGACTGCCAACCCCACAGCTATTATGGAAGATGGGGAGCCACATTCTTCTTCTTGACCAGGCCTCAGAATGTGTAAATAGGCTTCCCACCTCATGAGTTCTCCAAGTGATCACCTATTCCTAGAGGCTTCCTGTTTTCACTATGTCATAGCTGATACATCCTAGAACCCTTTGTGTGTAGGAAGCACTGCCACTGCTAGGACCAAGTCTGCATCATATCCTGGGATCAGTGCTCCAGTCCTTGCTCTGGCTCTAGAATTTTCAGGAGGGGAAAAGAAGCATCTTTCACAGAAAGGTCTCCAGTACCATCAGAGGGGCAAAGCAGTAACATCACCACAGTGCTTCTTGGAGCTCTCTGGCCACTCCAGAGCATCCTTTGAGGGTGGACTGCAGCACAGAATGCACTAGCAATGTGCAGTCCCTGCTCTCTTCTAAATCCAGAGAATGTGATTGTTGGAGGCTGCTGTGAGGGGCTGCAAAGTAGAGGTGGTTCCTTGCACTTTCTCCCTTCCCTTATGTACTAGGTCATGATCAGCCACAATCTGGCCTTGATTTTTCAGGGGTGGGGGGAAAGCAAGTGCATTGAATTTGTGGCTGATGCTTGTTCCAGGTGGCCAGAAGTATTGCATATGATGAACACTTCTGCTACCAATATTATTGAGAAAATAAAGAATATGTTCACTCCATGTGGGTTACCTAAATGGTCCTCAATTTGTTTGAGGAATTTCAAATATTCCTCAGGAAAACGTTAGTAGCACACATCACATCTGCGGCCTGTCACCCAGCATTCAATGGGCTAGCAAAACACTTTCTTGTGCAGACCCTTAAAAGGGCATGAAGGTAAAAAATGGAGGGAGAACCCTGCCACGCTGTGTTGCAGATTTTCTTTTGTCATGTATACCACAGTCCGCTGTACAGAAAATTCATCATTCTTTAAATGTACTTTGCTAATTAGATTTGATTTACCAGATTCACAAAGCAGAGAACCCACAAAGTATGTCTCTCATGATTTTACACCTAGACCAGTAGGGAACAAAGAGGGAAAAAACAAGCATTGTCAGGAGGATTTGGGGGAGCAGTAACAGACCTGGAAGAGCTAAAAGGGGAGAAAATTAAGAATTACATTGGCCAGCAGGTACAACATAAAGATTCAGAAAAGAGAGGGCACTAAAATTAAGACAGATGATTGTGTAAGACTGGAAAAGAAATGTGTTGTGCTTGTTATCAGCCAATGAAAATGTTACTATAGAGGATGAATGTGATAATACAGATGAAGGAGGAAAAGAAGAGTTGATGCCAAATGGCCCTCTGGAGGAACATCTCCAGCCACAATGTGAACCCAGACCTCCCACAAGACTAGCCTTATTTACACAGGTGAGGTATCTGTAGGATTCGGCTTTCCCTGTACTGCACCCTTATGTAGAAAGTCCATCTGCCTATCTGCTAGGAGGTGGGCCCATGATGTAGTTCAAGTGAGAGGCACACTCTGCTTTCACTTTTGTGGATATTTTATCTTTGTTCTTTTTTTCTCTGTGGTTTTCCTTAATCAACAGTAAAAGTCATCTAGACTGAGTGCACATGTTATGCTCTTTGAATATGGAAAAGACAATAATCCGAAGGTCTCAGTATAAAGGGTACAGTAGCTTGGGAAGATTAGACAAGAGGGCAGAGCAAACTTTTAAGAAGATGACACTTCACTTTACTTTGATGCCGCAATTTTACCTTTTCCACAAAGTACATGACACCCTCATGACCCCGTTCTCCAGGGGGTTTCCAGCTGAGCACAACATAGTTCTTGGTGGCTTCAATAACACGGAGATCTGATGGCGGGCCGGGAACAACGCCCTCTGTAGAACCGGACAGAAGAGAAGGAAGTTTAGGTTTGAATCAGGTAGCTAGGTTAGCCGAGTCCCTAGCCCTGTCCCAGGTGCTCCTGAGAAAACATCAATAGACTTATTTCTGTCAGGTCGGATAATTTCAAAGCTGAGTGATTTTAAAATTCCTCAAAATGTGCACTGACTTATTTGAATTTCTGAATCATTATCCTGATGAAAGCATAAATCAAGTATCTCATGCGGATCTCACTGTTTTGAAGTCTGATTTCTTTAAAAAATAGCAGAGTTAAAAATATCTAAATACTGTTTCTGAATTTGCATAAATTGTTTTCATGTTTATTTATTTGGACCTGAATAACATAAACCATGACAGCTAACCTCAGAGGTATTTTAAGCTACAGAGATTTTAACTGTAAAGGACTTTGGGTCTGATCCAAAGCCCAGTGGGAGTCTTTCCACTGACTTCAATCAGCGCCAGGTCAGACCTTTTTAAGAGAAGGTACGTGTTTACCTGCAGGTTCTTCCTCAGTGACAATAATTTGCCCTGTCCAGGGAGCAGAAGGGTGACCTGAAATAGAGAGTAGTTATCATAAGAGTGAGACAGATCAGAAACTGTTTTGAAAATAATGAAAAAGTAACTCATTTACTATTCAAATCAAATGGTTTGAATGACATGAGAGTTATGTAATCTCCATCTAAGATACTGAATGTTCTGGACAAAAGTTTTAAAAAATGATTTTAGAGTTATTATTCAAATGTCAGTTTAAAAACAACAACAACAACAAAAACTATACACACAGTATTTAAGAAATCCTGGACACATTTGGTAGTGCACTGCAGCCCATTAGCAGCACTGTAAGCCTCCTTTATTTGTACCAAGAAGGGTTTCAATAATGAAAATGGACTACATTAACAGAAGGCCAGATTGAAAGCTTGAGTCCATTATCCAGCAGATGGACTGGCTGAAGACATTTTATTCTAAGTGGCAGAAATCCTGCAATGGTTATTAGATTGACCCAGGAACTGGGAAAGCCTCCCAGATTTTCTCACTGCTAGTCCAGTGCATTGTTCTGCCTGTTAGACTATTAACCTGTTCAATGCACTTTCACCTTGCAGTAGCGGATCTCCTCACAGATGAAAGTCAGATCTGCTGAGTTACTTTTCTGAATTGCTGCAGGGCCATGAAAGGTAGAAGGGAGGGAAGAAAAGAAGGGGATTGAAGAGAAGATCATCCAGGAGTAAGATAGACTAAGCAAGGGGCAGCATGGAGGTAAGGAATGGGAGAGATAACAAAGAGGATGGAAGTATGCTATGTAGATCAGGCTTCCTTCTCATGGACAAGCTCCTCACTCATTCCAAGTCTTGCCTTTCCACTCTCCCCAACAAGAAAACAATAGAACAATGCCTCCCAAGTCCCAGGTTGCTCTGAGCAAGGTGGCGATTAACTTTCCTGGGCCTTTAGAGCCCGAGCCTTTCTCTAACATTTCCTTTTTTTTCATTTCAAGTGGGGTATTTTGGTTATCTGACTACAGCGCTGGCTGGCAATCCCTGTGGCATCACTCCTGTGGCTCCGCATGCCATTTGAACAACTCAGGACAGGGTTCAGTACAGTATTTCCCTCACCCTGACTTGTTTTAATGACAAAAACTTCAGAATAGAGTGGGAAGACCTGGACTTTAGGCTTGTGTTTCGGCATGGGATGGATACTTGGAAGTAAAAATAAACATTTAAATAAAAATCTACCATCAGCGCTTGGAAGGCCTTTTTGTCACTGAAAGAGCAAAACTGGCAGTCCACAGGATAAGGAGTGTGACTCACAAAACATTAACTTTCAGGATAAAGAGTTTGAGCTTGATTCTCCACTGGCCTACTCCAGTTTTATGCTGGTGTTACTCCATGGCTTTGATAGAATTAGGCTCCCTTACCTGCTACACAGCAAGAGACTATTCATGGAATCTGCTAATAAAACAAAAGCAGCACTCTCCAGGAAACTGCTCTGCTCCTTTTTTTCAATTTCCTGTAAGTACACAGCTTTGTATTTCAAATAACAAAAGACAAGCTTTCATGAGACGATTCAGCCTTCAAGTTTGGGGGTTTTTTCTTGGCAAATCCAAATTTACGAAAGATGATATTTTGTTTTTGCATTGCTCCCTCTTGTGGAAACTTTGAGGACTTACAAAACAAATGTGCATAAATTCTTGCAGGAGTCAAATTTCTTAAGTCTCTTAGGGCAGTGGCTCTCAACCTTTCCAGACTAATGTACCCTTTTTCGGACTCTGATTTGTCTTGCGTACCCCAAGTTTCACCTCACTTAAAAACTACTTGGTTACAAAATCAGATATAAAAATTTGAAAGTGTCACAGTGCACTATTACTGAGAGATTGCTTACTTTCTCATTTGGAATATAAATATTGTACTTGCATTTCAATGTATAGTATATAGAGCAATATAAACAAGTAATTGTCTATATGAAATTTTAGTTTGTATTGACTTCGCTAGTGCTTTTTATGTAGCCTTTTGTAAAACTAGGCAGATATCTAGATGAGTTGTACCCCCTGGAAGACCTCTGCATACCCCCATCGGTATGTGTACCCCTAGTTGAGAACAACTGTCTTAGGGAATATATTGAAAAACTCTTACTTCTAAGCCTAGCTCTGTCAGCAGGATCCAGAGCTGCCACAGGCTCAGAAACCCTTGATGGTATGCTTATTCCAGCTTTATTCACAGCCCGGACTCGGAATATATAGGAGCGACCTTCTATCAAACCCGTGACAGGGAAACGAGCAAACTTCACCGGAGTCTCATTGCATTGGGACCAGTGAGTGGTGCCAACCTCACATCTGAAAAAACAAATATTTCAAGTAGTACTGAAGATGGAAAGAGAAAGAGAACTCCGAGCACACACCCCTAATACTCCAAACAGCTGTTCATGTACATTGTTGATCCTACCAGCCTGCCTAACAGCTTCACATATTGCCAACATAAAAACAGCCTCACAAAACGCTAAGGGCTCAAATACCTTATGTGAATGCTGACACTAAATCCTCTGCAGCTGCATTGCTTCTTTCCTGAGGTAGTGAAAAAGAAACTTAACACTATTCACTGATTAAACGCTTTAAAGTGTGCCTCGGGATGTTCAATGAGAGTTTCAAATTCAGCATGGGAAATGAAACACACAACTCCCCTTCCTGTTTATAGGAAATGAACTCCTCTGCCTTTGCACTGAAAATTTACATCCTCTGCTGAACATCCAGCAAATATAATTGGCTTCATGGGACATAAAAACATATGCTGTGAGTTCTGTGACAGGTGGATAGACCCCACACAGCACCTAGATGGGATAGGGTAAAAAAAACCTCTAGCATATAGTCAGACATGACAGCACATTGAATGCTGCCAGGATTATCAAGGGAGGCAGTGACTGCAAGCAGTGCATCAGCAAGGCTTGGTTGTCCAGCGGTAGTTCCATGGCAAAATGCTGGTGAGCCTACCAGGCAGCAATAACCTGAGTCTCTGGGGAAGAGAAATGTAACTCGCAGCAGGGAAGGTGTTCAGGAGAGGCTGAGGTTTTTAGGAGACCAGGCTAGTGGTCTAATTAATTTGTTTCTTCCTATGCACATTAAAGCTAAAAGAAACTCTGCACTTCTCTCATGCTTGAACTATGGGCTGAAGGAAGCTCTTTTTCCTTGTGGGGAATCAGTTATGGAAAAGCCAATTTATCTTATTAGAAACCCAGCACTGCAGGTTCATTTTGTCTTATGTGTCACTGCTCTAGCCAGCCCATCTGCACTCATGATATATAACAAGACAAATATCTATCTTCAATGGCCTCCCAGTTTCTAGGAACATGATAAATAAGAAGATAAACTAGCAGCTCCATTAACATTTTTGTTGCTTCTGAAATAACTGCTTGGGTAACTATTATTCTGCCTAAATAGTTCTCTGAACCGATAAGAAAGCCTTTGCTTTTTGACAGGTATTATTGTTTGTATTACAGTAGCACCCAAAGGTCCCAATCAGGATTGCAGCATGATAGTCTTGTGGCCAAGGTGTTGGGCTGGGACTCAGGAAATGTGGGTTTAATTCCTGTCTCTACTACAGCCTCTGTAATCTTGGGCAAGTCATTTAGGGGCTAGGCACCAAGTGGGCTTATCAAAAGTCAGCATCTTTAGGCACTTAAATACCTTTGAAAATTTGCCCCTTGGTGCTTCTGTTCCCTACCTGTAAAACAGGGACAATCTATCTACCTTAGGTATTTAATTGTAGCACATCCTGTGGTAACTGAGCACCTCACACTCTTTAATGTATTTATCATCAGAACACTCCCTGAAGAAAGGAAGTATGATCATCCCCCTTTTACAGCTAAGGCAGAGGGAGAGTGACTTGCCCAAGGTCATGTAGGAAGTCTGGGGTGGCGCAGGGACTTGAGAGCCTCTCCTGAGTCCCAAGTGCCCTAACCACTGGACCCTTTTCCACCCTTTATCTGTCTTGTGCATCTTAGATTGTAAGTTCTTTGGGGGCAATGACTGTCTCTTGTTATATGTTCATATAGCAAATGGGGCCCTGAACTTGTTGGTGCCTGTAGGTACTATTACAATATAAAGAATTAAAAAGAAATATGCTCAGCACTGCACAAACGAATAACGAGAGAGAGAGTCCCTACCCCCAAATTGTTCACAGTCTAATTTATGACAAGATGTAACAAATGAGTATGGAAGGGAGGGTGAAGGTAACAATAATGGGAACAGGTGGTTACATACACAATAAGCAGGTTTTGAGTCAATTTATTAAAATGATATAAACAAACAAAAGAAGTAGTGATCTCAGTAAGCCCTACTGACCACATGCCTGGCCATTATCTGTTGACAATTTACTATAGGCACCAAGGCAGAAATAAGTCTTGAGGAGGGGTTTAAGAATAGTGATGAATATTTGCATTTGTAAGATCTAAACAAAGTACAGAGCTAAAAGTAGAATATTAACATCTTCTATGGATTGACAAGCAAGAGGGTAATAAGAGACATCCTGTGGCTGAGCTAGCAGTTACCTGAATTGTTGACTAACATTGTTTGATATTAGTTCAGTTTCAAAATTAATTATTTTTCAGTGTCTTGTTCTGTTGTTTTTTAATTCCTGGGGGGGGGGGGGGGGGGGAGAGGGGAGGATGGAATTTAGACCAAGCTCAAATCAGTTAGGACGCTACGGGACACTGGAAAATGATCAAACAAAAGAAAACGTGCTTGAATTGAACACTGATATACTTAGACCTGCCCCACAGTCTAGATCTCTCATTATAAATCCTTATACACATTTCTGAATAAGCAACATTCTATCACTGATTAGTGTTGCGAACTCTCATGATTTTATCAGGAGTCTTACAATATTTGGTGTATTTCATAAAGCCCCAGCTCCTGGAATCCTGTGATTCCATGTCAGAGTAACTGCGTGGCTGGCTGAGGCAGAAGCAGACACAGGTTGAAGCAGGGACTGGCTAGTGTGGAAACAGGGATGAGCTAGAGCAGGAGCACAGGCAAGCTGTCAGAACTACTAAGCAATGAGAATGCTCCTAGCCAAGTAATAATGTTGAACAGAGTGGAGAGACTGCTTTGCTTAGGCGCTTATGTACCTGCTTTGGGATCATGTGGGTGGGTCCTCACCTGTGGTTTGGCTAAACCCTGGTTGAATGGCACAGGCCCTATCACAAGACCTGCAGCAAATTGCCTCTGATGACTCATCACACTCTCTGGCTCAGGGATGACTTATCAGGTTTAAACAGGCTCAGGGATAACTCAGAGATGACTCATCACATTATGTGAGCATCTCAGCTCTCATTTTAAAAGTAATTTCCAGAGAAAAGCTTGGCAATATGATTTGAGTGCACCCCAAAGGTTCAGAAACCAAAAGGCAAATATAAAGAACTCAGCATATATTATTTGATAGCCAATATCATGATTTTTTGGTGCCTGACATGATTTTTGAATACTTGGGGTTGGCAATACTGCAGAAGGAATCCCAGGCTGACTCATTAAGGGCCTGATTCTGCAAATTACCGAGCACTGTCTGCATGGTACTGAGGACTCGACTCCCACTGAAGTCAAAGGGAGTACAGGGTAAGGAGCAACTCACAAGATTATTTCCTAAATAATTAAGGGCCCAATCCAACTCCCACTAAACTTAGTAGAAATAAAATTAGGCCCTAGGAGTCTGAATCTGAAATAGAAAAGCAGTATTTTTAGCTATCAAGAAGAGCTACAAATGACAATATCACATTTTATGCCACTAAATTATTATTAGGCTGTTGAATAACAATGATCAGCAATACAGTAGTAGGTATAGTTTGACATAAATACTGACTTATCAATAAAGTATCCAAGGACGGGGCTTCCTCCATCAACAGCAGGTTGTTTCCAGGAGATGATGACATAATCTTTGTTAGCATCCAAGCACTCCACATCCAGTGGCGAAGCCGGGGCTCCTGGCATTTCAGCATCTGCATCTATGAAGATGGAGATTTACATTTTTAAATCGGAGTCACAGTTTTTTCCAGGTTACTCTTTAAGGGCCAAACTCTGTTCCCATTGAAACCAATGAAAGTTTTACCACTCACTTCAGTGGGACCAGGATTGGGTCCTACATCTTCCTTATTATTATAGATTTCTTTTTCTGTTATCAATATTTATTAACACCCAGTATGTTGCAGCATATTGTAATCACTGATCGAGGCCCTCTAAAACAAACCAAATCAGGAATCTTGCTTCTTGATTAAGATACTGCCATACTTCAAGTAAAATCTCTTGGGTAATTAAATGTCATCTTGCTGCTTTATTGAAGTAAAATATCAAACTCTATTCTCTTAGCACTGGACAGTAGCTCAGGCAATGTTGTTTGGATCTAGAGTGTTGTAGTTTTCAAGGACAAAGAGTGATACAGTACACTTTTGTGAGCTCACGGACATGTTTTATGATGAAATTACAAGTTGACGAAATGTTATTAGGTCTCAGACACACACACACCCCGCCCCCAACCCCAGCTACAGTTGGGTAGACAGAGTGTCCCCCTTAAAAGGTATGGTTTTAACCAGGCCGCCCCTGAAAACAATCATCTTCATGAAATGATTGTTTGCTAGACTCCTGAACTTGGCGGGTGGGGGAGAGGATGTATTTTTTAAAGAGATACAACTCCATTTTAGATGGATGAACTGTGGTGGGTGATCTGGGAAGGATAACAGAAACACTGATGGATTCCATAAGAAGGTTGGATAAAATAAATAACCAGAAACCAATCCCAAACTCAGTCCAAGCCATTCTTTGACATTTGAAAAATTCTGAATATATTTTTCATTCAAAAAGTGAATATAAATGGAAATTTCTTATTTCCTTTCTCATTTTCACCCCCCTCCCCACCCTCCCTTCATTGCTTGTTCTGGCTGGGCTTGGAAGAAAAGCTATTCTTGTAGGATATTCAGTCCACTAGGAGGTAGGAATCAATGGGGCTGGCACAAGAAAACTTATTATCTTGAGCTTTCCAGCCGAATTTTTTCAGACTGAAAGCAGTGCCAGAAAAACCTTTTGTGGGCCTAGTGTCAAACATATTTGTGGGCCCCCATGGCAGCAATGAGGCATGGCGTGGGGAGACGAGAGGGGTCAGTCCCCGGAGTGAAGGGCCGGTTGGGGACAATTGGGCCCAGCCCAGCACAAGGACACCATTTACAAACTGGCAGCCACCAGACTCACACTGGCCCGCCCGGCCCTGTGCTGCCAGTGCGCCCCTTCCCCTCGGGGGCGGGCTTGTGCCACATACCACACCGCCTCCCCGCCCAGTACCTTCCTTCCCCCTATGCCCAGTGCCCCCCTACCCAAAGACCCCTCCAACAAGCCCCTATGTCCAGTGACCCCCTGCCCAGAGACCCCTCCCCACAGACCCCCCACCACAACTGCACTGTGCCTTGCAAACCACCACCACCCTGCCCAGCGTCCCCCCATCCACATACCCCCCAGTGCCCCACCCACAGCCCCACCACCACAACTGCACAGCACCCCACATAGACTCCCCCACAGCCCAGTGTCACAACACACACAGACCTCCCCCACCTCCCACTGCCCAGCACCCCTCCACAAGCCCCCCTATGCCCAGCACCCCAAAACATACAAACCTTCCCCACTGACCATGCCCCCCTCACATACTCCCCACTGCCAAGTGTCCCAAAAGACACAAACCTCCTGCACCCAGCCACTGCCCAGTGCCCCTGCCTCCTCATTGCCCAGCACCCTGCCACAGGCCCCCAGACACCCACTCCCCTGTGCCCTGCCCTCTGGCCACACTCACCAGCCCTACTGGGAGGTGACCGTGTCTGCTGGGCTGAATCAGCAATGCAGCTGGGGCCAGTCCCGGGGCAGGGATCGTTCCGGTCCCTCAGGAGCGGCACGATCAGCCAGGCCGGAACAGGAGTGGGGCCTGTCCAGGCCAGGCTCCCTCAGGACCCACTTGCTTGGCAGAGCCCAGCCAAGCCCCCCGCACTACTCCCCTCGCTGGCAGAGACCGGCCCAGCCTCTGCATTGGTCCCAGGAGGTTCGGCCCCCGGGGAGGCGGGCAGTGCCCCACAGGTGGTGGATAGCAGAGACCTCTCGGAGCTGGAGCCGCACTGGGGAGCCGCTCAGACAGCAAGACCTGGGCGCTAGACTGCCCTGGGCAAGGGGCCAGACCCAGCCATGTGGATGGGTTAGACAGGTCTGTAATGGGTCCCTTCCCAGTCTGGACCTGGCACCCCAGTGCCTTTGGTGCCATTGTAAACCCGGAACTGACTGAAGGGGTTTGATTCTGGTCTCACTTCCATTAGTGTGAATCAGGAGTAAATACACTGAAGTCAACAGTGCAAATCCAGAATAAATGGGAGGACATTTAGGCACAAGGAATTCACATAAGCAAGGATGCTTATCAAGAAAGACCCTTTGAGGTCTATCTATTACTACTTTAGACAGACTCATTTTGGAAAATAAACTGAAGAAGGGTATATATGTACTTCCTGTCAAATGTTTGTTACAAGTCTGGGCCTATGTGTCAGAGGAGCCCTGACTTTGATTCTGTGGAGTCTGTTTTTAGGCAAACCTTATCTAAAACTTTAAATGCCGAAGTGCAGTGCTAGATATAGGGGGCTGAAAATGTTTATGCAACTGTATCCTCATTTGTGGGACATGACTTGTTTGTGTAGCTGTATGTTTATTAGCATATTTGTGGGGAAAATAAACATTTTGTAACCTTTCCAAGAAGTCTGTGTGACAGGTTTTCATAGAAGAGGCATTGTTTCTTTCTCGATCAACATCAGTTTGTCCAATTACTCCTGGCATTTCCCCAGTCCTGTTGTGAGCTACTTCACAGGACAGGAGGATGGGTTAGGGCTAGACAAAAAGGAGCCTCACACTTGAAGGAAAACAGTACATCTCTGCTAAGTAAACATTTTTTAAACTCTATCTAGAATCAAAAGTTTTAAAACTGCTGGATCCCAGAGTATTACAGCATTTTATATTATTTATTATAATGATCTTATTTACAATAAGTTTCCAACCCTTATTCTTTCTAGCTCCAAAATAACAACATGAAAAGATTATTCAGCACTCTAAATTAAAGCTTTGGAAAGACCATATTACACTGTTTTTCCTTGCAGGTATTGCAGTGTAATTTGGGAGGTTTTGGAGCTATGCTAATGTTACCGATCCTGACTTCTATATAATTTTTTTCCTGTTCTATCATAGCATTGGTGTTATCTTTAAAAGCTACTATTTACACAATACATAATCCATTAAATATAACTCAATAATAAACATTATTAATAGCAATAATAGTAAATCTTCAATGTACGTCTAGTGGTCAACATTTAAAAGCCTTCAATTGCCAATATTTACACATAGGGCCTTGCCAAATTCACAGCCATGAAAAACAGGTCACAGACCATGAAATCTGGTCTCCCCCGTGAAATCTGGACTTTTGTGTACTTTTACCCTACCCTTCAGCGCTGGGCAGCTGGACAGCAGCAGCTGCTGGCCAGGCGCCCAGCTCTGAAGGCAGCACGACCACCAGCAGCAGTGCAGAAATAAGGATGGCAATACTGCTGCCACCATACCATGCCACTCTTACCTCTGTGCTGCTGCTGGTGGGGGCGCAGCCTTCAGAGCTAGGCGCCCGGCCAGCAGCCACCACTCTCTGACATCCAGCTCTGAAGGCAGCGCAGAAGAAAGGGTGGCAATACCACTACCCCCCTACAATAGCTTTCCACCCCCCTTTTTGGTCGGGACCCCCAGTTTGAGAAACAACTGAGTCTTAAGGGCTTTATATTTTGCTGTTTTAAAAATACATATTCCTGGTTGTTACAACACTGTGAAATTTAAGATTTAAATATCTGAAACCATGAAATTCAAGATTTTTAAAATGCTATGACTATGAAATTTTCAAAAATGGACCTTGAATTTGGTAGGGCCCTACACATAGTGGTATCTGAGTACCACACTTCCTCTCCAATAGTTAGATTAGGAAATAACTGTGGTAAAACTCCCATTGATTTCAATGGGGCCAGGATTTCAGCCCTACTGCCTGCTAGCAAATGCTGACTTGTTAATGGTGACCACTGTACAGTAGTACAGAAGGCTCACAAAACACTTCAGAAACTTTACTAATGCACTTACAATAGGGGCCTGATCCTGCGCAGTGCTCTGCACCTCACAAGTTGGGGGCCTATAGATGGGAATTTCTATAAGGGCAACCACTTCAGAGTAAATATGGCAGCTGATGAACTGTATGTAGCATCATTACACAACTGTTTAGGACAGGAAGTGAACTATGTATTATCCAATTGAAACTGTAGGGGGAATTTAAATAAGCAAGACTGTAATTCACCTAATTTGAATTTGCCAGGATACCAAAGCGACAGCCATACTTTTGCAAAAAGTGCTATGTGGCCTTTAATGGTCACAATTGGCTAAGACCTCAATTCTCTGTCTCATCCAAGAGATGAAATACTAACAAAAATGATAATTTATGTATATACCAACACAGCTTTTGATATATCTGTTTTCCCATCTTTCTATTTTGTTGTGAGGTCACAAACAAACATTTTGATGAGTTCTTTCTACAATTTGTGAGCATGACTGCTTTAGTCATGATCTCCAAGCAGGCTGTAATCTGCATATCACCGGGTTCTGCTATATTTGGCAAAGTGGCGCCATTCTGGGCACGTTCACAGAGCCAAGAATTTCAAGAGCCTTTAGGATTAGCATTACACACTTCAGCTGCCTTCAGCAGCTGAGACAGATATAGAATCAGTGCATGGACCAGTGAAATTTGATAATCAAGGCTCTTTTTAAAGGGACATGCCCTCTAAGAGAAAATGTAGGAAGTTTATCAATGTACGAGAGTATAAACCAAGATAGACAGAAAACTAATCTTTTAGTGGGTTCTGAATTTTAAATAACTTCTACTCTTTACTTGCCTCATAAACTTCCTAATGTACTTTAACTTATTACACACTGTATTAAAGAGAGTCAAATAGTTATTGCACAGCATCTTGGTCAAAATAATGGGCTGTAGTTAGCAACAAATGGGCAAAATAATACATTCATAATTTGTTACATGGGTTTCTCCTCTTTATCATTAGTGCTCATCACTGTCCACAAGCTACTATAGTCAAAGGGTTGTAAACTGCAACAGTGAATTTCTTCATCTGAATAATGGTGCTATCAGTAGGGTCCAAAGACCCTCAAACACATGGCGGTGCCACCCAGATATGAGGTATCTTATCAAGTTTTCCACATGACAATAATGGGAAATGATAATGCTAAACAACTGACATTTCTTCAACGTCACAGCATTTTGTTCATCTTGATTAACAAGCTCTTTAAAAGCATCTCACAGTTTTCAGTAGTTACACTGTTTTCATTTGAAAAAAAGCTGAAATTAATGGGATTGATTTCTCCTCACTTTGTTTTCTTCATAGGGTAACATCACCAGATCTTACCTCGAACAAAGACATAACCACTGTACTGTTCATAGTAGTCCCCCATGACCACACGAAGAGTGTAAAGACCTTCATCCTCCTTGTTAGCATGAGCAAGGGTTAACGTAGCCCGCTCCCCACTCCAATGCATCTGGACCCACTTGGATGGTGTAATAAGAACACCTAGAAATTAGAGAGTTCTATAATGAGAGATGACTGAATTGAATCTATTCCTAAATACAATGAAACCTGTACAAGAGATCATCCGTATTAGACAACTTCCTGTCCTAAAAGAGAATCACAAAAGTATCCCTATTCTTCTCTCATACCTATTTTACACTGACTTCAGTGATCTAACTCCGTTAAGCAACTGATTTTTCTCAGTCTCTGGAGTGATCAGTTAAGAGAGGTTTCAACATATCAATGAATAACAAAAGTCACAAGCACTGAATGGCTATATAAATACTAAAGCTGGTTGAAAAGTTTCAGATTTAAAAATATTGAAAAGAAATGGGAAAAATTCAGATAGTTTCCCAAACTTTTCCTCTAATTTTTGACCAACTGTAGAGCTAATTGAAATTTTTTGCATTTCAAAATTTTGCCATTTTTTTAATTTAAAAAAAAGGGGAAATTTTGAAAAAAAATCATTAACATTTCCTTCTTGTTTTTATACCATATCTTACAGCTATAATATACCCTTATATTTCCTCTTTTCATTCTTCATTTGGATATGAAAGGGAATGAAACTCTGTGTCAGACAAGTTTAAAATTCATCTTGTAATATGTGCTTACCATTCCTGTACCACTGGATCTCTGGGTGGAAGCGCTTAATGTCGGGATGAATGATAACTGTACAACCCAGACTCATTGTCTCTCCTTCTCTCCCAAAAGATACCTCAAACTTGTCAACAAAGTGGATTTCAAACTTGGAAGCATAGCCATGGGGGGTAACACCAACTGTGTAAAGAAAATTGTCTGATTATTTAATTTTTTATCTTTTTGTAGTGATAAATGACAAAAACCAGCAAAAACTACTGTATATAAATGGAACCTTCTATATTTTTATAGCAGATCCCTCACATTATTACTACACTGTCACAATAATAATAATAAAAACACCCAAAATCCCCCTTCTCTCAAATCTTCCAAATACAGAGCTCCCAGCGCCTTGCAGAAGCAGGTCCAATATACTTTATTTAGGTGAGCAGCATTGCTACAACTCCTCAAATTTCAATGTACTTACATAAAACTTTAAAGTAATTCTAAATGTAAGGCCAGATCCTCAGCTGGTGTAAATCAGCATATCCCCATTGGTTTTGGTAGAGCTACTTGGATACCAGCTGAGGATCTGCCCCACTGATTACTTATACCTAGAATACTTAACTTCAGGTTCTGTCTATTTGATCTCTATTACTCGTCCTCATGAAATCATAGAAGTTAGAGATGAACAAGAGCTATCAAGTCATCCAGTCCCTCCCATGAAGCCAATGCAAGACTGTCCTCTAATGTTTTATCCAGTCTAGTCTTACAGGTTTCAAGGGATGAGGCTTCCACCTCTTTCTTTGATCGTTTATATTCCAGATCTAAGTGCAATGCCAAAGGTATAAACACAAAGCATGTATCAGTGTCTATCTCACTATTCTAACAGACAAGTACAGTAGACGGTTGTAAAATAAACAAAAATTGCTGTGGACACCAAGAGATAACATCAGTTTATATCATACAAGGTCTGACTTTCAGAGGTGCTGAGCATCTGCTGCTCTCACTAACTTCAACTGAAGTTGCAGCTGTTCAGAGCTTCTGAAAATCAGACCCATTTTGTTTCTAAACAATGTCACCAAATAATCTGCTTGGTTGTTTTGTCACAATGGCACGATTTTTAAAGGATTAGGTCAGGCAAACCCATTTTTTGAACTTACAGCTGAGAGGCATGGTAACAGTTCCAGCATGAAAATAACTTGCATCAAACTCTCCCTTATATCCTATAAAAAAGAGAACAACTCTAGTCACCAATCGCCTAGAAGTAATCAGCACTTTGAGCCATGTAAACAGAATTTTTAATGTGCCCCCTCAAAGAAAAATCAAAGGAAATATATCCTGCAAACCTACTCTTTACCACAAGGGAAGCATAAGCTGAAAGTTCTCCTTTAACATTCATGGCAGAAGCTCGATACTGAGCGGTGTCTTCAAAATCACATCTGAAATGATGCAAATGGTTAGGCAGGGCACCTAGTACTCTGACATTTCTAGGGTCTATGCCTGATATCAAAACATCATTTTCTAAACATTATTTTCACAATGTAATGTAGCAAATGGTTACTCAGTGTTGATTTAAATGCTTTTCTCTCTCATTCAATTAACAAGGGGCCTAAACCTTATTCAGGTAAAAGTCCCATTGAAGTCAATATAAATTACACCCGATTAAACTTAGACTGTCATTGATTTAAATGGATTTTGAAGCAGGCCATGAGTGAGGAGTGCAGGACAGGGCCTTATGAGATTTTTGAAAACACAAGCCTCCTTTACTCATTAACTAGAAGAAGTGAATTAAAAGTAGAATTTGCTTGAAACTTTACCCATCCGCCAGACTGACTTGAACTTGAATGTTCATTATGCTTGGATTCACTTGTATGACTTGCTTATTTCCCTCCTTTATTCCCTTCAGCAACCAGCATGGCTGTGCTTTCTTACCTATAACTAAGGCTACGTTTTTGTGTATTTTTAGTAAAAGTGATGGAGAGGTCATGGGCAGTATACAAAAATTCACGGCCCATGACCTGACCATGATTTTTACTATATACCCCTGACTAAAACTTGGGGA